GAGAGAAGAGAGAGAGAGAGAGATTCCATCTCAGGAGACCATGTTATATTTGTTCATGCAGGTTAAGGAGCTTGAAAATGCTTTAAAAGAGAAGCAGGAAGAACTCTCTAAAGTCGAAAAGGTTAAGGAGCTTGAAAATGCTTTGAAAGAGAAGCACGAAGAGCTCTCAAAAGTCGAATCTCTTCGTCTCTCTTCATCAACAACCAAAAGCATGCCTCCCATCTCATCAAAGCCTGAGTTTTCTGATCATTACCCAGTCGAAACAGAGTCATTGATATTGCAATGTTCAAATTCAATAAACCGCCCCACTGCATCATCTTTGTTAAGAGGCCAAGAATCTCTTCAAAAAATTGCAAAAGCAAGGGAGTCTAAAAATCACTTTATTGATCCTGAGAACACCTCACTGTCTTCAACTTCGTTAGAGCGAAAACCAGTTTTAGATACAAACAGAACCAGGCAGATTGACTCATCAAAAGCATTTGGAAGGTTAACAAGAACATCAAAGATTGGTGCCCAAAGGTCTTCCATTGTAAATAGAGCTCAAAGGGCGACTGTTGCACTTAAGGAAAGGGATAAAACAAGAGGCTGGACACGGTAACCATCAGTTATGATTCAACTGTGGTTTAACTGTTACAGATCTTGTAACATATTGTTTATTTGTATGAAGATGAGTGGTTTTTCGTATTTTGTTCCTGTACAAATTTGTATGAACAAGTCAATTAATTGTTATATACCATTTTAACTCGGTGAGACCATTTGGAGCCTGTCCCATACTGTTTTGTGCATAGCCTTCCTGTAAGAACGGTGTAATAACAAATTCTCTAATACTATCTTGTGCGTCCTTATTCTGACTTTAAGCCTAAGACACTGTAATAACAAATGTATGGCATTGCCAAATCTTTCAGACACTGTAATAACAAATGCTCAGATGGCATAAAGTTTTTAACTATGTCTGATGCGTAGTTAGAAGTTTTTTTCACCTTTTCTTGATAACTTCTACACTGCTGGTCTTTGCCTCTGAGTCATGCTATGCTTCACCCTTGCTTTCACACACTGTAATAACAAATGCTCAACTGTCTGATGGCAACAACACAGTCTGTCAAGGGTCTATCAAAACCACACAGTAAGGCATTGCCAAATCTTAATACTAAAAATTCATTCCTTGTTTTTTGCAGCTCTTCTGAAATTGTTTTTACACTGAAATTTGGCGAAATAGAAGGGGGGATTGAGGGTTCTTCCTAGAATCAAAATTTTAATGAGCTAATAATGTATGTTGCTAAACAAGGACAAGGCCCTAAACAATTGAAGTCGTCACACCTTCAAATAGTGCCAAAATATGTTGCTTCAGCCTCAGAAATCTTTAACGTTAAAAAAAAGTGTAGATCAAGCAGATCTATGAACACTAAAAAATCTTCAAAATTGACGGTCTATGTGGAACACTTGAAAATCTTGAAAGTTATCGGTCAAAATAATACATAACAAGACGCACTATTTTCAAGACTTGAAATCTATTTTTTCTCATGTCCCAACATCTTGAGGTCAAGATGATCGAATTTTAGGGTTTTTCAGCATCGAAACAACCTTGTCTAATGAATTTTTGAGGTGCGCCTTAATTTGATTATTTGGGCCTCGCCCTTGTATTCCATGCTTTTCCTTTTATATTTTGACCTGAGTAAGCCTAAATTAAAGTTTTTTATAGTCTGTTAGGACATTATAAACCGGTAATGACTACTATAATATAGAAAAAAGGGAACAATGGGAAGAAAACAATAAGGTTAGTACTCATCATAATGTAGACTTTTTTGGGAAACTAATGGAAGCTCTCTAGTGCCAACTTTTAAGAAAAACTTTTTACAATATTACTTTTAAAAATGCTGTTATGATATTATAAAATGGTAATGATCTCCACAATATAGAAAATGGGAATAATGGGAAGAAAACAATAAGAATGGTTAATGGCCATCACAATGTGGACTTTTTTAAGGAAATAAATGTAAGCTATTTAAATACCAAATTGTTGTTAAGCAAATCATTAAAGAACATTACTTCTGCTTGAGAAAAATGAAAATATTCGAAACATGCTAATTTAAAAGTAGAAAAAACAAAATCCGCTTTTCCCAAACTTTTCTAGTAATCATGCTTATGTTATTTGACACGATTTTTAGTCAAATCATGGTTATTAAGTTGATATGTAACCGATGTATAAAATTGCTTGTTATCATGAAAGAGAGGCTTTTTAATTCAAGGAAAAGGTTTATATAAGGGTAAATAATCAAATTAAGGTGCACATCAAAAATTTATTAGAATAGGTTATTTCGATGCCCATAAATCTTCAAATTGATCATTTCGACCTCAAGATGTATGAATATGAGAAAAAATAGATTTCAAGTCTTAGAAATAGTGTATTTTGTAATGCATTTTTTAGACCATCAATTTTCAAGTGTTCATAAATTTGCTCAATCGACATTATTTTTGAAGCCCTCAGCCTTGTACAAACCACACCCTTTAATTAAAAGGTACTGTTTGCATATGGTTGCAACCTTAAACAATTAAAGTAAGGTGCACCTCCAAAGTTTATCATATGATGTAATTTTGGCATAAAAAATTCTTAGGATGGTCTGGAATCTATTTTCGTCTCTATCGATAAAATTTTTAACTCCAAAAATAGTCCAAATCAAGTAGATGTATAAACACATGAAAATCTTGAAGATGGATGGTCCAGATAATTTGTTGTAAGATGCACTATTTTGGGACTCAACATCTTGGTTTATTTCATGTCCAGTTATCTCTTGTCGAGATGATCAATTAAAAGGTTGCTAGAGCTCCTTTGTTTCGATAGAGATGAATGTTCCCAAGTCCTATTGGTCCGATGTTGTTTTCTAACATCATAACAATATTTTTCAATGGATTTTTGAGGTGCACCTTAATTCTACATTCTACCTTTATAAACGTTTTCCTTAATTAAAATGCTTGTTCTTGTATAACTTCTATCACCAGTATTAAGAGATTAATGGTAAAAGGGCCAGTTTGGATGACACAAAAGGGAGTTGTTTATAAATGGAGAAGGGTGCGTTTTTATTGTAAAGTTAGCGATTTGTTGGTGCCATTTTACAAATAAGCAGGGTACAGAAGGACTGCCCTGTGAATAGTGGAGCAGACCAAGTTAAGCTGTTTTTAACTCCTAAATACGTGGAGAGGAAAATGACCCTATTGCCAAAATCTATGCCTTCCAAACAAGACCTAAACCAGTTTCATGAGAAAGGTGATTGCTATTTGTACTCATGTTTTAGCAAAGAGCATCCATAATATGTGTTATACATAAAGGCATATGTTGATTTTGATATGACACATGTTTTAGCCCTAATCTGAAAATAGTACATAAAACTAAAGGTTTCTTCGCATCTAACTTTAATATAAAGGACTTTAGAGAGGCTGATGTGATACTTAGGTAATAAATTTGTGAGAAAAGAAAAAGAGTTAATATTGACACAATCTCACTTCATTGAGAAAGTGCTTCATAAATTGTTGTGTGTCCATTTTTTATGTTTCTTTTTACTTTTTGTTTCTACTTTCCATAAATCCCTGCATCTTTGAAAGACATGGTGTCATGTTCCTTTGTTGATTGAGTCTTGTAACGGGTAAGCCCACGATGGTAGAAGGTGGTAAGCTATTCGAGTTGTGCGTAGGTTGTTGCTTAAGTTTAGGAGTCATGTGGTAGTCGTTGCTAAGTTTAGGGAAGATGCAGTGATAGGAGTCTTTAAATGGCCAGAATAAGATATTGTAACTATCTTGAATCTGATTAGTAAATGCTTGGCATTGGAGGTTGGTTTCCCTCGAAGAAACTACTTGGCTTTGGAGGTTAGTTTCCCTCGAAGAAGCTACAATTATTTTTGTTCTCCTTCTAGTACTGGACTCTCAGTATTCTATCAAAAATAGGGAGGAATAAGAACAAGGGTAAAAACCGTAAGCTATCCTATTTAGCTAGCAAAAATATCCACGGAAACTTGCATTCCCCTCGAGCTACACGTTCGAGCTTCCGGGCACATAACATAATTTTTTTAGCATATTGATGGTAAGATAGTCTCTACTATGATACATCCTCATATAAAGTTAAAGAGAAATGAAGGGAGATATTTATCTCAAATAGAATATACAAGGGGGATCAATAGTTTAATGTATGCAATGAGTAATATGAGGCCTGATATTGTATATCCAATAGGCAAACTTGGAATATATATGTCATCGGGTAGAGAATTTTGAGAAGTAGTCTCTCAAGTGTTAAGATATTTGCAAGGAACTATCAATTATAACATACATTATATGGGTTATCCTGAAATATTGGAAGGATGTAGTGATGTAAATTGGAACATAGAAGTCCAATATTCACTATCAATATTCAGATGGATATTTTCTTTAGCTTGGGGAGTGATATCATAGCGGACCAACTAAACAAACTTGTATTTTGCATTCTACCAAAGATCGGGATTTATTGCTCTAAATTATGCTCACAAAGAAGCAAAACAACTTAAGAATGTTTAATATGGCCTACTAATATGGCCATAACCGAAATTGATAATCATACTACTATTGTGAGAGTAGGTAATGATATATATAATACTAAATATATACATATTGCACACAATAAGAGATTACCAATAAGAATTATAAAAAATTACCAATAAGAGATGGATTGTAAGTCTCGAATATGTGGTCAAAGAAAAATTTGGTCGGCATGTCAATAAGATTGTAGTTGTAGTATATAAAGTAATCACCTGCAGTGGGAACCCAACCTAATTTTTTATAACCTCAAAATTTTAGGTTCAATGTAGTAATAACAACCTACACATGTGATTAGTTTCGTTACTAGACGAAAAATATCATAAGCACTCATTCTAAGGAAGTTTATACAGTGCATAAGTCTATAGGTCTAATAATGAACTATATGCAAGTAGGATGAGTTAATGTCATAATGATGTTTATGATTGTTTATAAGTCGGAGTGTCATAAATAAAAAAGCATTGTTGATCGACGCATATGTATAAATATGAAAGTGAGACTGCTTCCTATAAGATGAGACTCTAGAGCACTTATGAAATCAGAATATAAGCCCAATGACCAAAATGTGCTGACAGCTAAAGACACATGGATATGTATTGTTTCTAAGTTGTACTACCAGTATGTTAGATGGGGAACATGATTCAAAGCTATACACTATCATGAAACTTGATGAACTTTGTAGTGTATACTGTAAGTGAAAGTTTAAATCAAATGATACTTTAATTGTTTGCAAAAAAAAATACAATTTTACCTATGTATTTTCATATTATTTTGGAATAGTGGAGGAAATGTTAGTATTTTTAGTTTTGAAAAAATACTATGTAGTATTTCAAAATAATATGCTTTCAAGAGAAATGATCCTATAGAACCCTCTCCCACCGATGTAGGTAGGACCCCAAAAGTTCGTCATTAAATTCAGCACGGATTTTTAAAAAAGTCAAGTCTCTCGCTCATATGATAACTTTTCTAGAGATCTATGTCAAATTTAATAGTGATCATTTGGGATCCTACACACATGAGAAGGAGGGTCCTAACATAACTTGCACATACACGTGAGTTCACGTTTGTATGTAGACCCTTGAGGCGCACTTTGGTAAATTGCCCTATTTTACAAGGCACAAACCGGACTCGTAACAGTGCATCGGATGGCTGCGTGTGCGATCCAACCACTATAATACTAGCCATTGTGATGTAGGGA